TAATAAGTTATGATCGTACAAAAGTGTTAAATATTTTATTAAAATTTAAAATCATGATTTTCTCACGGAGCACCTATCAATCTCGAACGGAACACTAGTGTTCTGCGGAACGTAGTTTGGGAAACGCTGCCTTAAATGTTTTCGCTCTCTTGTGTTTTGAGTTGTTGCTATTGGGTTGTTATTACAGTGGGATTTATGTTGGTTTTAATTTCTTCTTTTTTCATCTTCTGAGAAGTGTAAGTCGTGTCTTCTATGTGATGCCCCTATTATGGAAATCACTTCTATACAAAATGGCCGCCAACTTCTTCTCGAAACCTCCCCAAACAGTGAAGTGGGATATGAGAATAATTTTTTAAATGGTGCTAGAGTCACGAAATTCAGCATTATGACAGTGGAGCCACTGAGCTTCCGAAATTTACCAAGATTATTGCCAATATTTTAAAAATAGCATCTCATCACATTTCAGTTACAAATACAAATATGTGTACTACATTTATCATGGGAAATTCAATAATGGGACGTAAATTATGATTGAAGAAGCAGAAAAAACAACACAAAAACTCTTTTTTTTTACGCATGCGCAGACACTAGCCAAGGGTTCATCACAAAAATATTCAATAGTCTTATTATAGCGAAACTATACAAGATATTGTAACTACAAAAGACCATCCACACTATATGAAATCATATATTACGTATAAAACTAACCTCTGAAATACTAATTTTCTCCCACAGTCAATTTCAATGTTCACTGGTCAGCCATCTAGGTTCACTTGGTGAACAGAAAATATGAGAAACTCCTCGATACACTAAAATATATATGCTTCTGCCTGAACTAGGATGAAGAAGTTTCTAGTTATTCACGTCATCAACGTGAGGATGATGTAAACTTGTTCTGCCATGCCTCGATTCTCAAGCAAAATCACTTAAAGGTATCTACTACCATTGATTCCGAAGATACCGATCTCCTCACCTTGACTCCTGACGTTTCTCAGGAAGACTGCACCTGTACAGGAAAGGTCATGTTTATGATTGTAGGAAGATATGCACTCCAGAAGTTACTTCTATCATCACGCAGAAGCAGAAGATGTGGACTTTTATGTCCACTAAACCATTCTTAGTGGACACCACCACCTCTGCAGGACATGGAACAGTTAACAATATCATCAATCTACAACGATATAAAAAGAAAATCTCCTCCCAAAGCAACAGAATTCCAAGTTGAGTGAGATGAAGAAGAAGAGCCTTAGATCAACTGGAGCCTGGGATGAAGAAGAGTATTCTCGGTATGCAACTGGAGTCTCATGAATTATCATTACATGTAAAGTGTGCCACGACCATTGAATGGAAGATAGACTATATGACAGTTGTTCCAATAACGTCAACATTGCCAGCAATACTAAAACAAGAAACATTGCTAATATTTTCCAAGCAAAGAAACCTTAAACGACAGAGCGCTATGATTGGAATTGGTCTACATACAGAGCACTCTGATCTATCGGATAGCTGAATAATATGGAATATAAATAATTATACTCAAAGATAATATACATATATATATTGACAATTAGACTTAGATGATCGTATAGGCTACGAACAACGACAACAAAAGCTATGTTTGTTAGATTTGATAAATACCCAGAAAATAAGTATTATTGTCAAAGTGGTTAAACATAATACAAAATCATTTAGTTAATTATTTAATATAACATCTTAATTTCGAATTAAAGAGCCTAAGAAAGAGTTTCGCTAACTAATGAAATTAGATAAAGAAACAATAGCATCAAATAATGATATATATATATATATGAATATCTGTAACATGTACCTAAGTTATAAGCAAAAAAAAAAAAATGCAAAACTGAACATTTTTATTCTCAAATTTTCTTCCAAACGCAAGTTATTATAAGGTAAATTAAATCAAAGGAATTTTTACTTCATTAATTTCAAAATACAAGCTGTTCAACGCAGGGAAAACACGGAGCTATTGAAGGGGAGTGAGGGAGTGAGTATATAGGAGAACAGATCTAAACGCCTATAGTTGCAAGCCAGGTTTGGTGAGAATCGATTCAACAATCACATATAGACTGTTGTCAAATAAAGGTTTAGAAAACATTGTGAAACTTCACCAACTTATTTATCATAAAATTCATTTCAAGCAACACAAACATCCAGTTACTTTCATATTTCATCGAGCTGCGTTCACTACAAAAACAGTCAGAAAGACTTACTGAAAAATTAGTTTTGCTTTATAAAAATAGGATTAGCAGAATGCATTATATTTTCAGTCAGTAAATTTAGACGTTAAATTGGCGTTATGAATAATGCAAAGAACTTTCAACACAGACTATTAAACAAATTGTAAGTGTATACTTTTTAATTTGTTATTTGTTTCTAAAGCCTTTATTTGGATATAAAGCTAATAATAATATATATACGAATAACGATTTTAAGCCACAGAAAGTGTTGAATATAAAAATACTATAAACTATGGTGTTCTTATTATGTATGTCTTCCTTCTTTTGAAATGTTATGTGTTAAAGTTAACGCTAACCCTTCTGCTAGGTGGGAAAGAAGGTCGAGGGTCAAAAGACATGTCAGGTTCCCTTCATACCTACCCGAAGGAATCCAAGTCAGGTAAGCTGAAATATATATGGAAACTGTAGGTGTTTGAAACATTACAGAAAAGACTAGTTTCTTAAACAATTATAACCTGGTGGTTAGGGAGCTCGACGACTCGTAATCTTCTCGCTTTTTTAGCCGTGTAGACGTTATAATGTGTCGGTCAATCTCACTATTAGTTGGTAAAAGAGTAGATCAAGAGTTTACAGTGGATGGTGTTGACTAGCTGCTTTTCCTCTAGTTTATTCTGGTAAATTAGGAGCTGTTAGCCCAGATAGCCCTAGAGTAGCTTTGCGCGAAATTCAAAACAAACAAACTTAAACAATTTTAACATGCCTGTAATTGTATAAGTACCTTCACTGTCAATTAATTAATAATAAGAAAGTATAGTTTACATAATATTATTTTACCAATAAAAGTTGAATTTATATAAAAAATAAATCAGGCGAAATGAAAATTACGTTTATACGTTTAGCCTGACAATACTCATTGTTGTTCTAACAGAATAGTAATTTGAAGTGAAAGAATTATCTAAACATTCAATTCGCGCTCGCTCCAGTGAAGCAACTTCTAATCCTAGGATCTTATTAGGGAAAAAAATGGAGAATTTATACGTAAGAACTATCCTATAATTAATTACTAGAAAGCTAGTCGACGTGAAAAACGACATGAATTGTGCATTACAGAGGCGATGCCTGAGCAGTGAACAAGAGTAGATAGCCTAGAGCCAGCCTTAGGTATTCGAATCTCTCATATTGATTTTTCTCGTATCCGATGACGTTTTAATGCAGCCCCATGAAAGAGGATAAAATGGAAGGCAGCAAAACACCGTCAAGAGCTTATAAAAATGTGCCTTGTTATATTTTGTCAAACAACCTCAGGCAAAGAAAGAGAGTACATCCATTGCATCAAGTTCAAAACTTCTCATTTTTTCATGATATTATTTATATCAGACAACAGTTAGTCAAAGGCTTCTATAATGCAATGGTTCTTTGGATGTTTTAATTTTGATTGGAAAAAATAAAAAAACGTCATCGTAAGTGAACAGCGTTGAATTAATTAGTGGTAAAAAAAAAAGACAGAGACCGCCTGTAAACTAAACATGTATTTTAGCGCATCAAATCCTTAGTGTGCTCCTAATATATTAAGTGTAAAAACTGGCTTATTGAATTAAAAAGACTGAATAATATTATAACTGATATTTGGAATGTACTCTCAAAGCGATGACGTCTTCACATCTCGGATCGAGGTTTATAACAGCCATAGGGAGATGATGACGCCTTCATATTTACGATGATGTCATAGTATTGGGGGAAGAAACAAAATATTCATATATGTATTTATATACTTTAATATATTAGTATTGTTAGTTGTTAGTTGATGCGAGGATATTTTGACATCTACGGTGAAGGCGTAGTATTTTTGTCGGAAATAACATTATTTTTAAAACTACATACATGTCTTATTGTTTTTACCAAAAGTGTATTTACATCTACGTTCACGTCGTACTGTTATTACTAGAAACGATGACGTTTCCATGTCTTACAATGTTAGTGGAAGACTGCGTGTGATGTCTATTCAGAGCTGTTTTTTTTTTACTGTTGCAAAAAATATAGTTATAATAAATAGGTTAGTGTTTAAATTTTTACCTGAATGATTTCAAATGTGTAATGTCTTTCTGATTTTTTTCATTATATTGGTAAATTTATTATTTATAATAGTTAACCATCTGAAATTTATAAACAACGTTTGAAATAAATTAGAAAGTGTCATATAAATTATCTCAAATTTATGTTTTTTATGCACCATTAAAAATAAAATGTCATTTATAAAAACAAGGCCATTTGTACCAATGAACTTTACGCGAATATCATGGAAGGACGTTTCGGTTACAAAATCATATTATCTGTGATGATAAAAACCTAAACATAATTTTTTTGTAAGTTCCCTTATTAACTATATATATGTGAAAAGACTATTAGACAAGACAATGGTACAGGATAGACGTGTTGAGTATCATATGTCATTGTATTTGAAACAATAATCTGAAATAGCACAAAATTGTTTTTGTTATTAGGCACCGTAAGCGTCATATATTTACAGAGGTTAATTAACACGAACCTCACTACATCATTAGGATCCAAGTAACGATGTTCGGATGTTCTCTATTCGACGAATGTGCGCCTTGACAATAGCCGTGGAGCGTAGTTCCATAGTATAAAAGCTCATTGTAAGTATGTCATATCACAAGCACACCGCTCTTCCCTGCTTGTTTTCCGTAATCCATCTAGTGTACACGGTTGACAGATTCCCAGCGCCCGTTTCAACAGCCTGATCATACAGAAATCCATAGTACTAGCATGAATACTCGTCTCATCCTCCTGTTGCTTGAGGTATGCAACAGAAGAACAGATATGTCATGCAAGCCACTTGTGTGCACGTGACTTATGCCACTTTTCTAGACAGAGATTTTTCTTGCCTATGTTTGGAACTATTTTTTTGGACAAATAAGTGCAAAGCTTTTGCCACTGACATTTGTGTTCATGGATTTTCACCTGTTACAAGACGCCACTCTTTACTCATCAGAGCTGGAGTACGCCTTGTTGTAGGTCTCTTTCTGGATAGTCCTGCCTCACCAAGTTGATCCATAATCTTTTGTTTTCCAAGGCGTTAGGTACAAGAGAATTCTTATCTTGTAGTAATATTACATTACCTACGAAACGACAGATAACGTTATAATGTAGTTCTAAGAAATGCCGTTCCACGGTGACTGTATATCGACTGTGATTGTCACGTGACTTGCGATTGGCATGACCAAAATAGTTTTAATATACTATGGCGTAATTAACCGTTTTATGCGTACGACTTTGTATGATGGTTGTAAGTTTTAAATATATCTCCAGAAAACGTAAAACTCGAGTTTTGTGTTGTTGTTTTTACATTAGTTCACATGTTCGATTTAGAAACATTAAAACCGTACTCTTATAACTGATCTTTGGTCTCGTATACTTTAGAAATTTTAATTGTCACTGTACAGCCACACCCCCTTGAAGATTAAATCTTACAATCCATATGAAAATGTTGATGTTTACAGCAATTTGTATTTTCGATGTTAGAACTTACTGAGATACATAGCTCTAAACTGAAAAGTAAACATTTTGGAGTAAATGTTGCTGAATATTAATTGAAAGGTATAAGCAAGATACACCCGGTAACATGTTGCCCTTGGAACTTCTATTGTAGATAGTATTTAACTCTGTAGTTTCCAATGTAACATAGCCTAGTGGCTAGGGAGCTCGAATCCCACTATGAGAGTAGCGGGTTTGAATCCCCGTCGGTTGCCGAATATGTTCACCCTTTCAACCGTGGGAGCATTATAATATGAGAGTAAATACCACTATTCGTTGATAAAAAGAGTAGCCCAAGAGGTAGAGATGGGTGGTGTTGATTTTCTGCCTTACCTCTAGTCTATCACTGCGAATTTAGGGACGGCTAGTGCAGATAGCCCTCGTTTAGCTTTGCGCGAAATTCAAAACCAACAAACACAGGCTAAATCAAATAAAACAATACATCCTCTCAGTAACAGAATAGGTATGACCAGCATGGATTAACGCAAAACGGATACACTTAAGAAAACAATACAGGATGTATTACTTACAATAGCCTATCGAGTACCAAGAACATCAGATTTTTTACACAAATATACCAACTTATAAACACTGCCTTATAAATTCATACATAGTTCGCTAAATTACTTTTCAAAACATTGACATAAAATTACCTATTTTATGAATTAGACCGCTTTTGCATACATAATGAAATTAGCCCAGAGCACTTCTCACCAATTAACTTGTACATGAGAAATAAAAAATAAATTAAAGCCGCCTTAGTTTATTTAACTAGGAGAACATTGAAAAAGGTATTTTATGTGCAACGCACACACAATAATTAAACTAATGAAAAATATGTGAAATACAAATGAAATGTTCGTGATGTGTGTGAAGTTTACGCAATAAAGAACAAAGTGAAGGTGGGTTCCTCGTATTGAATATTTCATTAATTACCATACATGGACATGGCCTTGAAAGGGGTCAGAGTACATGCAATAGCATAACCTGTGATTCTAATGTTGTAATTAGAAAAAAATATTCTACAGTAGCAATCAAGCAAATGCAGGGGGAGAAAGAGGTTCACTTGGACCTGAGCCTCCCAGGTCTACCAAAAGACCAAAAAATTGGTAAAGATCAAACGAAACAATGAGATAAATCTTTGACAACTTGCCCCTCCCCCAGCGGCACGGCGGTATGTCTGCAGACTTACAACGTTAGAATCCGGGATTCGATACCCGTGGTAGGCAAAGCACGTTGTTTAGCTTTGTGATTAATTACAAACAAACAAACTCTTTGACAACTTTTCCACAGATCCTCTATATGTGGACGTCAGTTTCCCAAATCCATGCTTAAGGAGTTTAAAGGCACAAAATTCGTATCATATTATATGTCATCAGGAAATTGACAAATCTGTTTGTGGTGGAAATAGCCATTGATTCGATGTGTAGCTGGTTCAAAGTTTGTGAACCTTCGTCACTTTCAAATCTTTATTTATCACCTAATTAGCACTATTAGGAGAACTTCACGGCTTCATCAAAAGGTGTTTTCCTTCTTTCATAAACAAAGCCTTCACTTCGCAATTGAGGGCGCTGTTCTTACTGTTTTGAGGTGTGACTTTGGAGATCACTGCTGACTTAGGAGATCACTGCTGACTTAGGAGATCGCTGCTGACTTTGGAGATCACTACTGACTTAGGAGATCGCTGCTGACTTTGGAGATCACTGCTGACTTAGGAGATCGCTGCTGACTTTGGAGATCACTGCTGACTTTACTGCTGTTCCACGTTTCCTCTTTCATTGAGAACAATGAAGGCTTCCTTTCACGATATGTTGGAAAATAAGGACCATGATACTACCTTGAAGCCATAACGTATCCGTGCAGCACTGCAGTGTCGAATGGTCTAGAATCAAATACATCGGTGCTTAATATGGTTGCCCGTGGCGACTCGACTTTAACACCAACAACATATTAGCATATACGTGCGAGTAACCACATATGTATTTTACTATATATATATCATTTCTATTGTTTCCCACAAACATTAGGTATACCTTATATAAAGTATATATTATATTTATTATTTCCCATAAACATATGGTATACCTTATATAAAAGTATATATTATTTCTATTGTTTCCCACAAGCTTACTGATAGATCATTATCGTGTCCAAGTTCTACTAATAGCGTAAACTAAAGTATAAACATTATTACGGACGTGGTTGTGCACGAGGCAATAAACCAGTAAAAATATTTAAGTTTGGAAAAGAAATACATAAGCTTTACATTATATATATATATACATATGAGTTTACTTAAACGCAGCATGTAGAATGTTCTGAAATAACAACCAGCACAGCTGAAGAAATCAACACTTACTTCATTATTTCATAAATTGAAATTGGTTACATCAATTACAAAGAAGAAAAGTTGAGGTTAGCATCATTATATAGAAATATAACACAGTCGTAATATCTTGATGCAAATAACCTAAAATATAAATAATAACACTTGCAAAAACCACAACATTAAGTTTGATCTTGTAAGTAATATTATTTATTTGAACAGAAAACTATTGTATAACATTTTAATAAATAAATTGTAAGGTTACACAAATTGTAAGGTTTAACATTGTGTTTTCTAAATACTCATCAGATGGCATGCGAGTTTATTATTAACGGATGCATGATTCTACTAAATTCTGTTCTGTTATATTTTATTTCTATGCTGTACAGACTTGTCATGTATTGGCATATGTATATCTTTCGCTACTATGTCTTCATTGTTTTTCATTCCATCCATCTTCAATTTTTGTGTTATAGAGATTTGTCAGAGCTAACACATATATATATACATATTCCGTGTAATTGTTTCCTTGTTTTAATTGTGTTTTATTTTTTTCACCCATACTTAATCTTCTTTTGTGGGAATAGCTTCTCTGAAACTAATTTCTTTGAACTGTTCGTGGAAAGTTTTCCAAACAAACTTAAGCTGGCGTTCTATGGATCGTGACAATATTTATCTTTATGGCCTGTCTCCATATCTGTAATAGAGTTCAGTTACCAGTGTGAAAACCTTGGAGTGTCGGGAGGAATTCAAAACAACTCTTCACAAACACTGGCCATCATACCACATTTAGAAAACAATCAGTCACTTAGTCTTGATCCCGAAGTTGGCAGATAACCTATAATGCCAGTGAAAACAGGTTTCTTTTCGTCTGTTTCTCAGATTAACTTAGCTTTGCTTGAACGTTTGCAAGAGAAGTGGTATAAGAAGGCAAACACAGATTATCTTAACATGCAAGAGAAGTGGTATAAGAAGGCAAACACAGATTATCTTAACATGCAAGAGAAGTGGTATAAGAAGGCAAACACAGATTATCTTAACATGCAAGAGAAGTGGTATAAGTAAGCAAACACAGATTATCTTAACATGCAAGAAAAGTGGTATAAGTAGGCAAACACAGATTATCTTAACATGCAAGAGAAGTGGTATAAGAATGCAAACACAGATTATCTTAACATGCAAGAGAAGTGGTATAAGTAGGCAAACACAGATTATCTTTACAGGCATGTATGGGGCTTGGAATTGAAACGAAAAAACACAAAATACAACGTTTCAAGAAAATTTAGCTCTGTGTTAAAATACTGTATATTTGTATACTGATACATTTAAACAGGAAACTAATTCTGTTAAAATACAGTATGCTTGTAAACTGATACACAGCTGAAGAATTCAGCTTGAACGCTTTACACTTAAACTAATTGTCTGTGTAGTATGAGTATGTGCTCGTTCTTGTTCGTATCTTCACGTTACTTGTTTAAACTTTCTTGCTGCGTTTTTTTTTCTCTTACATGTTTTTCTTGATTTTTTTTTAAATCTGAGAGTTCTCTTATCAACCCTTCTCCTCCTGTTGCAGTCTCCAAGTTATTAAACTTAGTTTTCTATGCAAATTCAATGTGACTAGGTTATTGTTTCTATTTTCGTTTTCAGGCACTGAAAGTTCCTCGACACGACTTGAGGACATCCAAGCCCTGCGGGTGACCTCACTCATGGGGGTCTGTTTCCTCACAAGACTTGCTCTGGGCTAAAGTTTGTTTTCACCTTTATTGCCGTTTCCTTGATTATCCGTCGCTATACATCTGTTAGCTCACACTCTCACCTGAAGGAAAAGAATATCTGGAACATCTTTGTTTAAAAAATACACAACTATTTTAATAAGTGAGAGATGACCTAGTCTAATTTTGACAGAACTTCAGAAAAAGGAGTATGCGATACAACAGGAAAGCAAAAGACAAGTATATAAATCTAAAGCGAGAAAAAAAGGGGGGTCAAAAAAGGTCTGTATTTATTTAAACCAATGACTACACTTTATGGGTCTGTCTTATGTCGTATATATATAAATATAATAACAGATCTCTTCAGTACTGTATGTCTTGACCAAATGCTCATGGGTAAAATATTTGTTTATGTGTCCAGATCGTCTGAACACCTATACTTAGTGTGACAAGTCGAACTCTGACTTAGACTTTAGTGTGCCAAGTCGAACTCTGTTTCCTTTCATGAGGAGACATGCTCCTCTTCTGATGTTCAACATTTTAACCTCTCTACATGTTTTGGTAGCCGAAGACAAACACTTGTCTGTTTTGTTTGCTAACTTGTTATTAAGCATGTTTTAATTAACCTAAATACGCAACATATTTGAGAGAAACATCATGCCAGTAATCTTTGAATAAAAACTAACACGTGTATTTATGTAGTAAATTTTACAAATGATCGTTTAAAGTTTCATGTATCAAAGCTCGCCTTCTAAAAAACAAAATCTCAGTTGAATTCTAGTTTTACGACTAATCGTGTAATATTCATTTTCTAACATATCTGAACGTTTAATCCTAATTAATTGTTTTAACGTCATAAGGGCTTACAAACAGTGATCTGTATTATAAGAGGTTTCCTCTCTGGTTATTGCTTTAATTCTTATGTATAGAATTGTATTAAATGTTGAATTGTTTCCATGACACTATGTCTATCTTTCATTGTTTGATTTAATTTTTAAGTCGCTCCAGAATTAAAAGTTTATTGTCACGGGAATGTGTCGGTGTGAGATTTCATCTTATCGAAGGAAAGTCCAACAAATTTAATAAATTTACAACCTAAACTGTCAATTGTATGGTAGTTTTATTTACGATGAAGAAATCGTGATCTCATTAATTACAAAAAGAACCACAATTTATGCAGTTGTAGTACTAGTAGGACCTAGATTTAACATTTTATCATTTATAGTGATTTGAGATGAATAACAAAAGAATAACTAGATTTAGTAAGATTGATAAATAAAAATAATAGGGATAAAGTTTTATATTAGATCTCAGTAGTGTAATCTGTACTACAACGTTAGATTAGGCTTAGGAAGTGTAACGGTATTTTTAGGCTTAGCTCTAATTCATTTTACTAGTAAACCGTAAAACAGGTTAAATAGATTCTTTTGTTAAACAAATACAATCTAAAGACTAGTTAAGGATTATCTTGTTTATTTGTCTTTAGTCTAAATCCATTTGTTTAAATGAAAGTTATAGGTAGGTTAAAATCAGACTGAATACATAGTATTATTATTATTGATATCAGTATTATGTAAACATCAAATAAACTTGTTACAAAGTAAAGACTAATTATTTGTCACTTTTATAGAACTATAGATAAACTTAATTAATTTAGTGTGAGTATAAATTAGTGATAAAAAACTGTAAATTATTTCATTCTAAAACCCTAGGCTTAACAATAACAGTGTTGACAATAGTCTACTGGTGTTTTCATTTAGTCCTTATTTCCAGGTTACAAATACAATGATTAAGACTAATGTTGGAGTTAAATGCTCACAGTTTGTTAAGTCTAATGGGTGCAATGAGTGGGTTTTATTTGGGAACTCTGGACTGGAATGTACTTTTAAGGAAGCTAGTACTAGTAGTGAAGATGTGCAATTTGTATGTAGAGTTTGTAGGTTGGAGGAGAAGTTGGAGGCTATCATAATTAAAGTAGAGGCAATAGACAAAGAGAAGCATAGACTGTGGGTAATGGCAGCAGGTTTTTCAAGAAAAGCTTACGCTTTTTACATGAAAGGGATACACCAGCTAACAATGACTTTCAGGAAGTTAGAAAGAGTACTATTAGGGCTAAAAGTAGTGAATTTTGTTATAATGAACCTATTCTGTGGTGCAACAAATTTCAGCCATTGGCTTCTGCACACTAGGAATTATTGGAGGGAAGGAAAAACAAAACGGTCAGAGAAGGATGTGGATGATAAGGAGGTTATAGTTATAGGTGATTCCTTTACAAGGCGTGTGGATAGGATAGTCTGTGGAATAAATAAAGACAAATGAATTTGATTATGCTACCCAGGGGTACAGGTGGAGGATATAACTAATAGAGCCATAGATATAACAAAGGGGGCTAGCAATGATGCAGTTTTGTTTTGATATGTACAAGGGGTTAATAAAGGCATTTAAGTTGTAATGCTAGAAGTATTTACGTAAATATAATAACAATGTCTGTTGACTGTTCATTTAACTACTTCACAGGATGTGGGTGGATCTTTAACAAATTTGATATGGAGGTTGATTAGGTTCATGCGGGGGTACATACATATTTTTAGTTTTGCATTTTGCTGTGTTAATGGGCGTTTTTGCGTTTTTTGATCATTGCTTTGCCCCCTGTAGATGGATCTTGACCAAATTTGGTTTGGAGGTTCATTGGGTCCATGGAGAGATACATACAAATTTTCAGTTTTGCATTTTGCGGTTGATATGGGCGTGTTTACGTTTTTCACGACTACTTCGCCCCCTGTAGATGGATATTCACCAAATTTGGTATGAAGGTTTATTGTGTCCATGTAGAAATACATGCGAATTTGCAGTTTCACATTTTGTGCTTTGTAGTTTTATGGGTGTTTTTTACAATTACATATAAGAGAATCAACTTCTTATGTCCTAAGATAAAC